AAACCGACTTTACACCATTCCCATAAAACTGACTATAAAGCTGAACAGTTCCTAGAACTTGGCTCTAATAATAACAACTGGCGGAGCGTGCGCTGCTCTACAGTTTGATTTATTTGGGACTAGATTAACAAATGTGTAAACTTCTAAACAGATTTTATGGTATATAGTGAAGACACTCTAATGAAATCTGATGAAACGGAATGCAAGCTAGTTGGAAGTACATACTTATATATGTGTTTACAGCCTGAAGTGCTTTAGTTCAATCATATCGAAGTGGACTGAAAGCAAATTTTAGATCATATTGATTTCGAAACTTGTCAATCAGTTAGTCAACAATTATCTCCAGCCGTAGTTAGTTTGATTGATTATAAGAAGAGCTAGGATTCAATCAAACATTTCGTAATTCAAACTCTCCACATATAAAAACATTCGTTCAATCAATCAATCAACGACATAGACACCATATCTAATATTTTAAGACTCAATGTATTAATGAGTATTGATAATCCATGATTAAGAAGGACCCAATGGAGATAATGTTAAATGCTCAATTGAGCAAATGCTGAAGTTTGTCAATCAGTCAATCAAGAACATATAAATTTCTAAATACATAGTCGTAGGTAGTTGATGAAATTAAGGATAATCAGACTATATATTGAATGGACTGATTATCTCTTTCATTTTCTAACGTATTTTTGTATCAATCAAGCTATCAGTCAGCAGCATTTGCCTTTTGGAATCAATCAGCTAATCAATCCGCCAGTCAAACATATTATTTATATATATATATGGAATACTTGACTATTAAACAGAGTTCTTGAATTTTTTATCTCTGTCTACTAGAGAACTTCAACTGCAAGCTAGCTAACCCTTTAAAGCTACTGTTCATATATAGTAAGAACTCCAACTGCACAATGCCAAACAATGGCCAAATATCATTTTGCAACACGACGTCCGCTCTGGCTGGCTTCACTGCCTTCGCTGCGCCATTCTTTGGCGCCTAATCAGTTTTCCCTGCTGTGTCTGCAGTGCCACAAGCCTCATTAAAAGGCTTTCCCCCAGCTCCAGCATGCCCCGCGCTGAGTTCATTTCAATTGTCTCTGTGTGCGTGTGCGTGAGTGTGCGAGTCTCCGTGTGTGTGCCCCAAGTCCAGAGCAAGTCGAAATATTCTCTATGATTCGGTAGACATTCCACCGTTTGCTTCATTTGCCACATTGCTCGCTCGCTGCGAACTGTTTTGCATCAATTCGTCTCCTTTTGGCTTTGCATGCTGCACATTTTCAGTTGCCATTTTGTGGATATTTCGATTTATTATTTTTTATTGTTGTTACGTTTTACGACTTTGCCGGCTGCGAGTTCTCCGACTCTGACTCTGACTCTGACTCCGACTCTAGCCGGATGCTGCATCAAATCTACAGATATTCTCAGATATTGCCACTTCGTTGGTTTACGGCCCTATTTCTCATAGTCATGCATTTTCCGTAAATTCACCATTGAGACAAAAAGAATTTTATCAAAATATTTGCCAGTCGCTTTTTATTGCTCAAGTTAATTTTACAACCTGCTGGCAGAATTAGAAACAAGCTTCCGACAAAAGCTAGCCTTGTTTCGCATCGACTGCTAGAGTTCTTGCGAAATTTGAATTTTTGACTATGAATTAAAATTATTCTAGTATTTGGTTTGAAAATTTAAGCAAAAGACAATATTTCAATATACAATTTTTAATTTCTACAATTTGTATGATAATATTATTTCATTAAAATATTATTTAAAATTTAATACGAACTCTAATTTCAAGTTCTCTTCTGCCAACGAATAATTAAATTAAATTATAATTATATCTACAAAACATTATTGTATACATATGTACACATAATTTATATATGTATGCAAGTGCAGCAGTTAGCCAACCTGCGCAGAATGGAGCCCCTATCAAAGTCAGTAAAAAGGCGGGTCTTACAAAATATAAGTATATATGTATGTATGAAAATAAAAAACAAAAAAAAAGGAGGCCGAGCAATGTAATGCATGCAATTGGCACAAGTCTATGTGCACACACACACACACACATACCCACACACAGAGTGAGACACCAGCTTTTGTATATAAAGGATTCTGCGGGTGATGCGCTTCAGGAGCAGCTGCAGCAACACGAACAGCAGCAGCAACAGCTTCGTGTTGCATACAAACTCATAAAAGGCGCAAAAAACGACGATGAAAAACTTTGCTAACGACTTAAACGACGACGAAAACGAGTACGAAGGAGCAACAAAAATAGAAGAAGCAAAACGATGTTGGACTCTACCAAAAAAGGATTCGGCTGTAGGAGAGCCAAGGGAAAAAGAGCGAGAGAGAGCGAGTGAGAGAGAGCGCAGCAAGCATCGAATTGAGAGTAAGCTGCACTTGGCACAGTAATAAAAGTAATAATACCAGCAGAGCCACCCAACTATATAGAAAACATACATACATACCATATATATGTATAAATGTGCTATATATAGTTTAGTGCAGATATATATGTATATGTATGTATATCTATATATATGTATATAGCTGCGCAGAGTTGCAGCTCGTTTATGCGCGTTAATGGCATCGTTTACTGGCTAACTGTAAATGTGCGCCCATAAGTGGGTGTGGCGCTTACTGTTGCAGCTGCACTCGAGATGTGCCATCAATTGGCTACAACTGCACAACCCATTCAATAAGCTGGGCGTGGTCTAAAGGATCTGCGGGCTGCAGCCCGCACTTCAAGAAAATGCACTTCAAATGGAAATAATATGCTCAGCACTGATGTAACAAATAATTGGTCCAGATGTCATCGATGTGGGATAAACATATATGAAACATTTAACTGGGTATTCTTAGAAGTAGGTCGACTAAGAGTTAAGCAGTTACTCTAAAGTAAAGAGAGCAACTGCATAATATATTTAGTAATCATTAGATATACTATTCCCATATAGCATTCAATTCAATTTTGGTGATTATAATTCAACTATTAAAAGTATTATTATTTTTAACCGAATTTTCCATCGCCTAAAATGTCAAATCCAATAAGCGCTAAGCTAGTTTTTTCTCACATATTTTTAACTTGTATAAAAGTGGCCTAGCTAATTGGACAATCAAATAGTTTTTTTTTTTTTTATGGTGCGGCAACAATAAATCAATTTATTAAATTTATATGCGGTTAATAAAATAATTTTTAGACATAAAATGCAAAATAAAGCCAATGGCTTCTAAAAAAAAAAAAACATGAAATAAAAACAACAACAACAATGGCTAATGGCTTAATGACTAAATTAAAAATGGCAGCGCACAATGACAACAACAGCAACAACAACAGCGATTATGATAGATAACAACAACAAGAACAAGCAGTGCGTGCAAACTGTTTATATACACGCACACACACACATAGACAAATGTGCACATGCATATATGTATAGATGCATACATAAGTACACATGTATACAACACAAATTATGTAAACTAAACAACAGCAAGAACAGCAGCAGCAACAACAGCTACACACGCAAAGTATAAAACACGTTTCACACGTACACGCACACATACATACATGCATGGGCGCTTCGCTCACCAATGCAAAACGTGCGCCACACTAACACGAACAGCAACAACAACACAGCGCCAACTACTCAGCGCAGCAGTTGCATACAACATAGCAACAACAGCAACAACAACTGCCACATCAAAGCCGAAAAGAAGAAGAGAGAGAAACATAATAAAACGGGCCAATGACTATGAAGCTCCGCCTACTACGGAAACTACCGACGACGACAGCAACGATGACGACGACGACGGCGACGACGACGGCAGCGCAGCAGCTGCCATTTGTTCAAGCTGTTGTTGTTGTTACTGTTGGTCTTCTTCCTATTATTGTTGTTGCTCGTGCTGCTGCTGCTACTGCTGCTATGTAGGTAAAAAGAAGAGAAAAAAAATGGCAGCGCATTAAGAGAACATAGCGGGTAAAGAAGAAACTCAACTAAAACCCGAAGCAGCTGACGAAGATTGGACTAGAAATTGCAGAAAGTAAAGCGACGAATTAGAGCAACCGTTACATTTATATAATAAGCATATACATATCTATTTATATGTATACACATTCATATCTATATATATTCTATATATAAATGAAACTTATATACATATATGTACGTAACTCAATTTGCCATTTAAACAAATACATAAAGTTTCGATTGAATTTTAGATAATATTATGTTTTGAATTAGATAATATTATGTTTTGTTCTTAGTTTCTACTTTCTGAAATTTTAATATATAACTTAAAGTAAATATATATATTTTGAGACAATATCATTTCTTTTTTAGAGGTTGGAAAAGCTTTCCTTCGAAGTTAAGCCTTGAACAGCCCTAGCAGGCCTAACTTTTTAGCTAAGAATTTATTTCCTATACGTAATAACCTAACAACAATAAAAAATCATTTCATGCATGACTCAAACCCTATATTAACATATACAAAAGTTTCGTTTTTGCGTGCTCAGACAGTGCATGCTGATAAGAGTTAACAAGATCTTCCGATCTATTTACCCCTCTGGTGATCTCAGCCCGAAGTGCCAATGGGAACGCTTCAGACATTGTTTGTATTTGATTTCATTTTGTGCCTACGTTTTTACCGCCATGTTTACATTCAACATAGCCACGTCTGACAGTTTCAATAGGGTCTCATTTGGAACATCGTAAATAACATTTTTTTAAAAGCGCTCGAGCAGCTGAAAACTGAGAATATCAATGGATGTTGAGTATACGCTGCGTTATCCGTCTCTGACTTGCTCTCCGTCTCCAATTTGCGTTTATTTATTTATGTTGATATTTCGAATGGGTCTGATTTAAATTGTTTATGGCTTTCCCTTTCGAACTTTGTATTCAATTTCAAGCGGATACTTGAATGTCATGAGAACGCGGGATTTAAGCTAATGTCATCGAATTTCATTTGTAAATCGATTCTGTTTGTTTTATTTGCAGGTCAGGATGTTTTCCTTGACTATTGTCAGAAGCTGTTAGAGAAATTTCGTTATCCGTGGGAGCTGATGCCGCTCATGTATGTGATATTAAAGGATGCTGGTGCCGATATAGATGAGGCTTCGCGTCGCATCGAAGAGGGTAAGCCAAAAGAGAAAACCCATATAAACCAATTTCTTAATCAACTAAGCTAAAACCAAAAGTTTCATGAACTGCTCATATATACGATATATAACTATAACACATTACCTACATATCTTTCGATCTGGATAGGCCAATATGTTGTCAATGAATACTCCCGTCAAAACAATTTAAATATTTATGACGGGGGTGAGCTACGCAACACAACGCGGCAATGTGGATGATAATTGTTCTATTAAACAATTTGAATTTTACATTCAAAAGTAAAAATCTTAACAGAACTTACATTTTATCTAGTTATATAAAAATCTATTATTTTTTGTCAACTTCAATTTAAATTAAACAAAAAAATAAAAAACATATTAAATATTTGGCTTAAAGCTTCTGCAAAACGCGCGCGAGTTGCAACAAACTAAAAAGTTGGGCTTTAAAATTAAAATTAAAAAGAAAGTAAATAAATTAAATATTGAAAAGCCACTGTAAATATATTCGAATATAATGTAAGCGAGCAACTTTTACTTGGATATTCTCTTCAATCAACAAACCAAATATACAACTCTTCAATCAACATACCCTGGTAAAGATGTCTCCACTTAAACTCTTCAATCAACATACCCTATAACTGATGACGATGTCCGGCTGCTCTAACTACTACTCTACAATCAACATACCAATCCACTCAATGCAACTTCTTGTCAAATCTGATTGTTAAATGCTCTTTCATCTATCTTCAGATCAACTCTAACAGTTAAGATGTGCTAGTAAAAGCTTATTCGAACGGTTGTTTAGCTTTAGTTCAAAGATCTAGCATCAAGGTTTGTTTTAAGTTAGCTTAAGTTAAACTGAGTTTAGGTGGACCAAACCCCATAAGCAAAGTTAATTATCAATCAGCAGTTAAATCTAAAAAGGAAGTTTTAAATTTTATAGCACTATAGTTAAGATCTAAGCACACAGCAAGTTCGCTCTATGAAATAAGATAACCTTGAAAGAGAATTTCCTTTTCCTTGCTTATGTGGTCCAGCCTAATTCAAGTTCTAGATTACTTAATTTTTTAAGTTTTATTTTAAATCTAAAAACTGTTTTAAATTATTCATTAATACTATTCTTGAAATTTAAATCGCACTTATCAGGTCTTTGCTATACCTAATTGAGCACACTTATAAATCTTTCTATAGAGTTCCAAAGTTCAATAAGATCTTGGCTAATAGAATAAGAGAATTCACATTAGCTTAAAATACCTAAATAGTCTCAATATTTATACCATGTAAAGATACAGGAACTTAAGATATTCAGTCTTGCTAAATATTATATGTTTATATAATGTCTAACGATATATAAATTAATTCAACAATCTATGTATAAATATTGTTATCGATTTAAGCAGTTCATAATACATATGCCAAGTTACAACAAGAAGAAGAACAACAAAAACAAAATAATTCTATGTATAAACAAAATAAAAATATTTTCCTTAAACAAAAGTAAATGGTCAGCATTAAGAGAGAAGTTCTCTATTAGATATATTAAGAAGGGGTATCGAGGTAGCTCATAGCATGATTTTGATTTTGTGTATAACATTAAAAATGGTCACGATTGCTTTCTCAAGTTGTTTGCCATTTCATCAGAACCGTTACATGTCCTACCATTTCACTTCCCGAGCGAGAGATGGAGCTGAAACTGGAACCGGAGATGAAGCTGCTGTTGTTTTTGTTGCTGTAGTCGCTGCTGCTGGCATCGTAAATGCATCATTAAACCGAAAAATGCATGCGAACAATGTACGACATTGCCAACACCGTCACTGAAAGGCTTCCAGCTTCAGCTTCAGCTTCACCTTCAGCTTAGCTCAATCCCAAACCCACCTTCTCAGTGTCCCGGCCCCCAAATGGCATTTCCATGGGAAAGCTGCCAGGTAGTAGCTACAATAATATTGCAGCATCGTTTGCTGGCACTAAACACGTTCATCCAGGTAGGATGAACAGACGGGAGCAGAGTCTACCATGAATATATGTAGGTAGATGTGTAGGCGAAGGGGACTGGCAGAAAGGGGTTTACTTCGAATAGGCAATGCGACGTGTAAATGTGTGCGCTATAAAGCTTAAAAGTGTTTATGCCTGAACAGTTGACGGCTTGACGGTATAAGATGGATACATAAAGATTGCGAAAGCGATTTAGAAACGAAAAGTTGTTAATATCTATTGTTCATAGCATTAAGAATTCTACAGGCAGCTTATCAAGCTAATTTGTATAAAAAGGGTTCATAGAATTTTTTGATGCAATTGCTATTTGATAAATTTGTATTCAACATAAACTTCCTACTAGATAACTCTTTATCTTCTAGTTATAGTTACTCCCATCTATTGAACTCTCTATTCGTTGCTGACATTTCGTAAGCCCATTGCTCACAGCTCGTTGCTTTTGCTCACACTATTTATGATTTTTTACGCCCATTTAGGCAAATGAGTCAGCTTACGGCAGGTTTTATGACACATTTCTCATTCTTGTTTCGGTCATATTTTTAAGCCCTGTCTTTGCTATGTAAACCCATAAAATAGACTTTTTGCGAGAACTAGAGAGAGAGAGAGAGACGGGCAGCTCATAATGTGGCAAGTATTTTAACCCTGCCCTCGGGACCGAATACTCCAAATTCCTTCAGCTTAACAGTAGAGCAAAACAAAAATGAGTATTAAGGGGAAGACATGGTTCTATTTGCCAATGCTTATTAAATACTATAGAAAAACGCTGCTAACATCAGGAACTGCAGCGACAAACAGCAACGGCAGTAGGAAGCGAAAAATTTCAACTTTACGACTTCATATTGTGGGCGGGTCGTAAAAAATGTGCAGCGTCAACGGCCAGGGCCAATACAGCACTTGTACTCATGCTACTGACATTTTACGGCTCGACAAGTAACAGGCATGCCCCAACTAATGCCAGACATCAGATATACATACATGTGTATACATATATCTCAGCACTCAGAGAAATTTGCTTGCAAATCAATAAGAAACATATTTTTAAATGTGTACAAGATTCGTTTTGTCAGTCTATGTTCACATTGTAGCTCTAAATTAATTGTTTCATTGATAGTCTACTTACTCAACTGCATTTCTCTCAGTGTATTTATATGTGTGTAGCGTATGTGTAAAGAAAGCGAGTCGTGATATATTAGTGCTGACTGCAGGCAACTCCTTGACTGCTTTGCTTTCTGGCTTCATACTAAGCAGCCAGTTTGTCATAAATGTGGCCTGGACATGGCTACTTCCATTAAATTGGCCGAGCTTTAGCTGATTGCCGCTCCTGCTCCAGCTGTTCCAGCTGCTGCTGCTGTTGCTCCTTTTTGTCATCCGCTGTCGCCTGCTAACCCAGTGAAGCGTAAAGTTATTGCCAAGGTTTTGTGGCCTGCAAACGTGCTGATTAAAAATGGCTGCGAGGCACGGCGAAGCTTAACAAGGCGAAACACTAAAAATTCCTAGAACTTACCTTCTCTTATTTCCACTTTTAATTCAAAACATAATAGCACAACACTTTAAACGGAATACGCGCGATCAACTAATTTGGTGCTGCCACATGTCCTGAATGTGTGACCAAGTTGGGCCTGCCACATTGTCCATAAATCACATTCAAAACGTTAAAGTTTTAAAAATTAAGCTTAGGCTGTATTATTTACAAAATTTTAAATTTGCATATATATAAAAATATACATATATTTGTATATTTGTGAAAATTGTTTACAGCAATAAATAACAATTATTTTTGTGAACAGTGTGGCAGCCTTAAGCGTTATGTTGGCTGCGCCGCCCACTTAGTGAATTGCGCCATAAAATCAATGGGGCCACCTTTAATTTTGGAGTTTGTAAAACATGGCACGGGGTCACCTTTTTATTTAAATTTATCTGAACAATATGAATTTAACAGTCGTGAGCTAAAATCTGAGTCCAATAGATAAAAATAAACGAACTTTTACCCGAATGCTTTCTCACAGAGCTTTGAACTGCTGTTCAAGATGCACTCACTTAATTAATCCCAACCCTGCAAAAATTTTAATGTACGGGCTTGTTCAGAGTTTACGACTTTTTATTTCGGACTGGCATTAGTATGAGTATTAGTTGTTAGCCAGGTTCCTTGGTCAAATACATAAATGCTAGGTTAAAGTCCACGTACATCTCTCTGTATGTGCGTATGACGTTTAGTTTTAGTTTGGGCCAGGCCCTGGCCTGTGGCACACTCGTGCGTAATATTCCCGTGTGCCTGCCTGGCTGGGCTCTGTTTAATGCATTCTGCAGTTGGCGGAAGAAAAAATCCCATTAAAATTAAGTAAAATTGCAGCAGCAGCAGCAGCAGAAACGTAATCGTAAAAACTTGGCATTTTGATGTTGCAGCAAGCAGTAAAATTTTGAAAAGTTTTTGCCACATAGATAAGTCAATGTGGGGGTTGAGGCTGGGGCTGGGGCTGAATGCGAGGTGTTGGGTGCGGCAAACAAAGGTTCTGCCTCTTACGGGGGTTGGGCTTAACAGAATGGGTTCATTGTGTACGTGTGAGCGTCTGTTTGTGTGTGTGTTTGTGTGTGTGCGAAGGTTGCACATAAAGTGCATGCCATAGCGATCTATGTATGTGTGTGTGTGTTTGTGTATGGGTACCTTGGTCCGGGACATAGACTTTTAGTGCCCGGGCATAGTTAATGTTATGGCTTCAATAGTTTATAAGTTATGTGCTGAAAAGTGTGAAAACCCAGCGAAATTTAACGATATAAGTAATAAACTCGTCTACGTGCTAGGGCGCACGCATATGTATGTATGTATGTAAGCTATATACATGTACATATATTTACATACATATTTGAAATCGCACTGAAATAACTTTATCAGCTTGTTTCCAATGCAGTAGCAGCAGCTGCTGGTGATTGTGTGGCGCCATCTAACGACGCCAGGGTGACCATATTTCACAATAATTTATTGATATGACATTTTGTTCGTCTCCACAGCGCGTGTAGAAATAAATCGAATTGTAGCGCAAATCTATTACAACTACTACACACCCATGACCATTGGCCTGCATACGAGCGGAGGGCCCATGTACCTGACCTACCCGAGCATCGAGCGCTATGGCACCCATTTTACGCATCTGCCGCTGACACAGATACGGCCGCCGACACCCGAACCGCTCGCCCTCAGCCGGACGCCGCCCAGCCCAACAAGTGCCGGCCAGCCAGCATCCCAGCATGCGCATCAGAAACAATCATCGCGTCCCGCCAGCAGCAATGGCACCGCACAATCAGCTGCCTCGCCCACTCCGGTCACGACCGTGGCCACGTTGACAGCCCAAGGGCATCATGAGCAGCGTTCGCGTTCCGCCACGCCCACAACACCGCCGCCGGCGCACAGCAGCAGCAACGGCGCCTACCATCACCAGCATCATCATCACCATCACAGTCACCATCATGGCCAGCATCTGGTCAGCTCCACCTCCGCCGCAGCCGTTGCGGCAGCAGCAGCCGCCACGTAACAGTATCGCCATGTTGCTGCCGCTGCGGCAGCAGCTGCAGCAGCCGTGCTCTTTGTGTAAGTAAAAGCCAATCAAGCGGAGCTCAATTGTTATGAGGTAGAGTATCCAATAAACCTAATAGCTAAATGTGCTCACACTTGAGTACAGTTGCCTCAAAGAAAAACCTTATTTTCATCTTATGTATAGAAATTTTAGATTTTAGTTAATTAAGTAGGCAACTGAATAGAAATAAGCTTAGCTGAGCCTTGCTTTCGTATTATAGGCTTATTGAGTATTGATTAGTAATGTGATATAACATTTATAGTATTGCTATCAAAATTGACTGTACGATCAGATATATCATATATAATATTTCTTGGTAAATGGGAGCACTGACCAGAGATGGGAGTCAGTGATGGGAGTCAGAAAAGAAATGAGAAAAACATCGAATTTTGTTTCTTTTTTTTTTAATATCAAGTAAAGGAACGTACATAAAATTCGCATAGAATCTGCAGGGTATTTCAAATTGAAAGCAGAAGAGAAATACCCTTTTCTCGCTTTGTAGTTTAGCAAAGAGTATTTCAATTTCGACTGGCCAGGAAATATTTGTGTGTTTTCCTATTTGGCATGCAGGACCTGACGTACTGCCTTTAATCAAATCAATTTCGCAGCATAGTTTTATGTTTACAATTTAAGTTGGTTGCCTGCCAAGCTTGCCGCTTGCCGCTTGCCGCTTTCCACTTGCCGCTTGCAGTTTTCATTTCCATTTCCGGCGGCTGCTGCTTGCATTTCCGGTCTGCGCACGAAAGTATGCAATGGCTTTTTCATCATTTCGCCTGATGGCTGCAACGTGGCAACAAAAGCTGCTGCAGCTGAACAGCACACACAAACAATTCCTCTTGGCTGCCACACTTCAGGCCCCCACTCCTTGCCGCCCCTCCACTGCCCTCCACTCTCCTCTCCACTCCTCACTTGATGTGCGCACGTCTCTTGCTTTTGTGCTGACAATTGAAGCAATTCGCCTTGGCCAATTTTTGTTGTTGTTGTTGTTGTTGTCATTTAATTTAGGGGCAAGTGTTAAATTTCCATGCTGGCTGGCATTTTAGTTTATATTATGCTTTCAACATTTTGTTGCCTTTTGTTTCAAATGCTCTTTCGCTTTAATTAAAAACTCAAGTGGCGTCAGGCGAAAACAGAAACGAGGAACCTTGGTAAAGCAGATTCATCTCTGATTCCTCTCTTCCAGTCTCAGGCTCCAGCTCCTGCTGCTCCTCCACCGCCCAGTTCCCACTCGGCGCATTTATATTTTGCTGCCACAAATATCATAATGTTTGCTGCCACACATCAAAACTTTTGCACACACAAATTTTACGATGCCCAGCGAACACTTCAGAATGCATATTTCAATGTCTGTCTGGTCGAAAGGTAATAAAATATACGCATTTTGCAACAAAACGCAGCATCTAAATCTTGTCTAGAACTGTTCAGTTTCCGTGCTATCCTTCGATTGTTTGTGCGCCCTTTCGGCACATTAAAACGCCAACTCCAACTCCAACTCCAACTCGACTACAACTGCAACTACGACTACGACTACGACTACGACTCATCTCATCTCATCTCTTCTCCTGCTGGCATTTCGCATCAAAGGCGCATCGGGAGTTTTTACGAGTGCATCATAAAACTGGCAACGCACGAGAGCAGCGGCTGTGGCTGCGGCTGCTGCGTGAAAATATTCTTTTTATTCTTAACTTATATAGTTGAGGTTTTCCTTCTTTACTTTTTTTTTCGTTCTCATCTTATGCTGCTTCGTCGCCTGCCCCTTCTTCTGCTTTTTCTACATATATAGCATGTCCAAGTATTTCTGTAAGCCTAGAGCTATGCAACTCACTTTTGGCTGCAATTAAATTGCGCACTGCGAACTACAAAGTCGAACGACTCGAGTTAGTGCTGCAAAATCTAGCCGTTTTTTAGTACTATCAGCTAAGTTAGCTGCGCAGCGGGACATGACTGTTAATAAATCCGAAAAATATATAAGTAGAAGCAAATTCCTAAATTTTCATTTCTCAAAATTCTAGACAAATTTTTAAAGATTTTTATATACTACATGTATTAGGTTTCGTCTCAAAATTCTAGACAAATTTTAGAAATTTATATATCTTTTCTTATACATATATTACGTCACTTAAATGAAAGCTTTGATGACTTGATTTCCGCTTTTTATTTTTTATTAGCTCAAAAGCCAAACTCAATTTGTTTTGCTTCGAAATAGTTCGCAACTTTGGCAAAGCTAAGGTTCTACAATAAACCAGCAGCAGAATTTATTTAATTCGCGAAAAGAGTTGGGACGCATCAAACTTATCGGCCACTGAGCAAAAATCAACAACAATTATTCAGCTGGAAATGCGGCGCGGTCGTAAAAAGTGCCAAACAATGCGAAAATTTTATGAGCTGCCCAGGCTCCATCCACAGGCAAAGTAGCTCCAAGCAGCTGCAGTTCCTTGGCTGCATTTCATTTGCTTCACCAACACACACAAAGAGAGAGAGAGACAGAGAGAGAGAGAGACCCATATCCTAGCGATTCGTTTGACTGCTGCTTCACCTGCTTTCCCCCCCAGGGATCGCAATAAATGCATAAGTTTCCATTTAACGATATTTTGTTACCGTTTCGCACACCTTCTGGTCGTCGTATAAAAACGTGAAATGTTTTCTATTTTCATTTCATTTTCCGCTTTTTATTGAATACCAGTGTGTGTGTGTGCTTGTGTGTTTGTTTGTGCCAAGCCAATTTTCTTCATCTCCGAATTGTTTTCAGCATTTTGCTCGAAATCCATTCACGAAAATGTCGCCTCAACAAAATAAAATATACTTAATTATATATACTATCTATAGCTATGTATATGAATGATCTTGGCTGTCAGCCAATCGTTAAAGATTTTGACGACATAAGCTCTTAAAAACCTGAGGCATTAGTTATTTTCTATATACAATATGTGACATGGATATTTTCAAACTATATATATTCGTTATATATCGATTGATCTACATTCATATTTGTCTATATATATCGGATTTTTTAACTTCGTATTATTATATTGATTGACTATGCTAAATTTATTTTTTTTTTTTTTTTTATTATTTATTTATTTTTAATCGAATATATTTGACTGACTAATTAATTATGATTATAATGATAATTATCAGTGTCAAATGATAAATTTATGAGTCGAAATACTGATTGATTGCTTGTTTATCTAACAACTAACTCCCACTACAAACGGCTTGATTGATTATTAAGTACAAGTCCAAAAAACTTATAGACTGTTTGATTGATCTTGGCCTGACTGCATGACTAATTGATCAAATATTTTGCTTGATTGATTTATATATACTTTTAGTTATTCATTTGCTCAGTAACTGCTTGACTGGTTGATTGAGTGACTGATAAACTGTTCAACTTTTCCATTGACTGAGAGGTAAATAAGTCAGTCTTATTGGTAGCTCATTGGTTTCATGACTAGCTGACATAATTTTGCTATGCAATAAACCCCATTAACAAACTGATTGATATTGATTGATGTCTTCATTACAATACCATGGCAATATTTTTGGCAATTCTGTTAATCTTTCATTTATTTTCTCTTTTAAGACTGCACAACTTTGTATCGCTCAAAGATCATCCTATAGCACATAAAGCACCGCTCCTGTCCCTAAAATAAGACATATATATGTATATATTTATTCTGCAACAATAAACCTCATACATTATTTTGTATGTATTTTGTGCTTTTGTGTTGTCGCACAATTTCCGCTGATTTCTAATTTCCGTTGAGTCGTCATTAAAAAAAAAAGAAAACGAAAAAACGAACTCAAACAGCAAATCCCTTATTTTTTTAATGCCCTGCTCCTCAGTCATCAACGCCGAGCGTCATGGGGCCCCGTCCTCGAGGTCGGGGCGCACCATAATAAATGCAATGCTTGCCATAAAAATCAAAATAAAAATAAAAATGAAAAGAAAAAGAAAAAACTTAAGAATAACAAAATACAAAAAGAAGAGAAGTTATAGTTTTTGCGAGCGAGTTTCGAAGTTTCAGTTTCAGCTTACGCTGCTCAAATTTCGTCCCGTACACCCCTCTCCCACCCGCCCGATACCCTCTTCGCTCCCATCTAGAATATTATTCGGCTTGTGTTTATTGTTGTTCGCCTTTTTCGTTTGGTTTGCGTGTTGGGCGCTCTCCGGTTTTTATGGTGCCGCGTTACGCCGGTTTTTTTTTTCGTTTCGTTTTGTTTTGTTTTGTTTTTAGTGGACACGCATTATTAAAAAATAAACAATATGTATATGATGTGAGAGAGTAGCTCCCGAGGAGACGCAGCGCCCAGTGGCGAACCCAGAACAAAATCCAGCGACTCGAGTAAAACGCGCCTGCCCCGCCCCGCCCCGTCCTGCAGCACTCGTTCAGCTACTCATTTTTCAGTGGAAAATTTTTGTGGCGATCGTAAAAACTTGACTCGAGCAAATAAACAGAACGAGTGTCGAGTACTGCGTACAGCAGAGTAAACAACGAATCAGGCATACTCTATTGAGAAAACTGAGAGCTAAAGCTGTTGATTGAAGGACAAATATGGTATTTGATTTATGGATATCAAATATAATCCATTATTAATCTTTTTTTAATGAATATATAAAGAATGATGTGCTTACCTTAATCATTATATTTTCTTTGTTTTATGAACAGCTTAAAGCATACATATTTGTTAAAGATCTAGTTATATCTTAATTGATATTTTATGGTAAATCCAAGTTATATATACATATTTATTCAAATATAAATCATAATTATGGCCTTTGAAGCCGTAGTTACCCCAAGTCTATGAAGGGTATTCAAGCACTAATAACTCAATTGGTGTTTTGAGACCATGTACTTGCCAGGCAGCTCAGGGAAAAGCGCATATATGTAGAAGAGAAATTGATATCAATCAATAGAATAGAATAGAATAGGAAGCACACAATAGATCATATAGTACACACACAATAGATATATAGTCCCATTGTGCAGAAATTCGATGCACTT